ATGATTTCTTTACTTACAACATGTACATACTTCCCCATTCTTAATCAGATTCCGGAGCAGTGGAGAATAAAAAGAATAAAATGCTCAAGGAAAATTGAATTATCAATGTTCAACTGTGTCTGGGGTCAGTCATGGACTTCTTCTTGGATGAGAGATGTTTCCTGGAGGGCATACTAGTCCTTCAGGATGTTTTCAGGAGTTCAAAATATTCCTGAACAGCTGCAGTGCAGTGAAATGTCAGTGTCATTATACAGAACACTTGTGCTCAATCACATTAATTTGGGAGCATGTGCATCAGAGAGATGAAGTTAAATCTGCACAGATGGGACAGGACCATGGGGTGCCTTGCTCAAGAGCCCTGCAGAACCTTCAGTCGTCGCTGCTTTAGACCCCGAGTGTGCGTGTGCTTGTGTGTGTGCACTCAACAAAGCCAACAAATCTACCTAGACTTTAGCAAAGCTTTCGACATAGTGCCACACGCCATTTTGATAAGCAAATTAGTGAAAACTGGACTAGGTGGAAAAACTATTAGGTGGATCCAGTGCTTTTTTTTGTAAAAAAAAAAAAAAAGGTGCCGGAACTCACGTCGCCGCTGGCGGTTAGCACTCAATGCGTGACCACACACACCAATCCCAAGCCGAGCAGCGTCTCAAGCCGGGCGGCGCAGACACAAAAGCAGCCCACAGGCACTATCTTAATGATGTTTGCTGCTGAACTGCTACGCCGACCGGCGATTCAAAACCACTTCGTAAAATCCATTGGAAGAAAAGGTGCCGGAACGCCGTTCCAGTGCGTTCTGTGACAAAAAAAGCCCTGGGTGGATCCATAATTGGCTGCTAAATTGGACACAGAGAGCGCTCATCAACGACACCTTCTCAAATTGGATGGAGGTGGCTAATGCGGTGCCTCAGGGCTCAGGCCTGGGCCCAGTGCTCTTCAATATCTTTATTAATGATTTAGATGAGGAAGTGCAAGGAAAGATAATCAGATTTGCAGATGATACAAAACTGGGTGGAATAGCAAACACCCTGGAAGACAGGACGAAGATCTAGGAAGTTCTTGATAAACTTGAATACTGGGCTCAAAGCAACAGAATGAGATTGAATAGGGACAAGTGCCAAGCCCGCCACCTATGAAAAAGAAACCAAAGGCATCGATATAAGATGGGGAATACGTGGCTCAACAGAACTGAACAAGGAAAAGATCTTGGAGTAATTGTGGACAACTGGCTAAATATGAGCTGACAATGTGATGCAGCTGCCAAAAGGGCAAATGATATTTTGGGATGCATTAGCAGAAGTATTGCTTCCAAATCATGAGAAGTAGTAGTTCCTCTATACTCCTCACTAGTCAGACCTCATTTGGAATTCTGTGCCCAGTTCTGGGCATCAAGATTTAAGAAAAATGCAAGAAAATTGGAAAGGGTGTAGAGGAGGGCAACAGAAATGATCCATGGTTTGGAAACACTGCCCTGTGAGGGGAGACTGAGAGAACAAGGCATGTTCAGCCTTGAGAAGAGAAGGCTGAGGGGGGACATGATACCCCTCTAGAAGTCCCTCAAAGGCTGCCACAAAGAGGGAGGTCAGGATCTCTTCTGGCTGATGCCCCAGTGCAGGACACGGAAGAATCCATTCAAGTTGCGACAACCCAGCTTCAGGCTGGACATCAGGAAAAGCTTCCTCACCGTCAGAGCAACATGACAGAGGGACCAGCTGCCTGGAGAGGTGGGGGGGGCTCTCCCACACTGGAGACATTCAGAAAGGAACTTGACAACCATCTGAGTGGGATGGTGGAAATTGGTGACCTACACCAGCAGGGGGTTGGACCCAAAGGCTTTTGTGGCCCCCTCCAACTCTACTGCCCTATTTTCTGGAAAGCCAGGGGCAAAGTGGGGAATCTCATTGTGCTGGTCCGCCCTGCCTTCCTGCTGAAGCGTCGCCATTGCAACCTCGCCCCCCCCCCATCCTTTCCAGGTGGGCAAGGCGAGATGTTCCATTCCTGCTCACTCGTCTGCAGCAAAAGAGCAGCAGGAATCAAATCAGCCTCGGGCGGCATTTTGGCTGCCAGGTGACCTCCGGACTAGCCTGGACGAGTTGTGCAGAAAGAACGACGGCACCAGCCTGTCCTGTGCATCCAGTGCACCAGCGGGTCTGGGAGAGGGTGAAGGTGTGCTGGGTTCCCATGGGAAAGCAGGAGAGGGAGGGAGAAGCTCTTTTGCTGCATGTAAAAATCGGGAGACAGGAAGGCTGCGCCAGCTCCGGGCCAACAACCAGGCTGCGGGGGAGTGACTTCAGTTCCTCCAAGGCCCGGTGTTTGGGCCTTAATGCTCTTTCTCATGGCGCTTCCTTTCACACTGCTTTTGAGAGATGGGCAAGCACGTTTTGCTGTTTCAAGCCAGCAGCTTTAAAGGCTTCAGGTCGTTGACGAGCCCTTTCCAAAGAGCCCTGCTGTTGAGGAACTTGCTGCAAACTTCCATCCTGCTCAAGAACCCCTTCTCCCCATGACCATGGGAGGTCCATCTTTTGCCACTGCCAGTGTTAGGAAATTTCAGATAAATCCTGATAGAAAAATGTTGCTGATATGGGCCTTTGTGTTATAAAATCAAATCTACACCTCTTTCCCACAAGGCAGCAAACGTTCCAGCCAAGTTGTTGTTTAGCGTTGCTGTTGCCTTAAGAAAATGGCATTCTTGGCTAGACTGAGAAGCTGCTGGTGGTTAATACTATCAGTGAGCAAATACCTGTGAAAAACTGAAACAGCACTGTCCATTTGGTTTTGAATGGGCCCCCCTAACCATCTAATCCCACAGCGGCAAGCCCCTGTGGAGTGTGGTTGTCAAACCAGGCTTCCTGAACGCTCCCTCCATTAGACCGGGGTCCGCAGACTTTTTCAACAGGGGGCCAGTTGAAAGGTGCTGGTGGTTGGTGCGGGCCGCCAAGGCGGTGCCGGGGGGGGGGGTGCGGGCTGGGGGGGGGGCGGGGGGCGTGTGGGGTGAGGCACCAGCTTGCTTGCGCGAGATTGTTTTCTCCAAACGAGTCCAAAACAATCTGGTGAGTCCAAAACCTCTGACGTGGGTCAGATAAATGGGCATGGCAGGCTGGATCTGGCCCGTGGGCCGTAGTTTGAGGACCCATGCACGAGACACACCCGTATTTCTGATGGTTCAGAACATTATGTCACGCCTAAAGACATCAAGATGCTATTGTACCAACATCATCTAGAAACTTAACACTCTGCATTGGTGTACGTGACTAGCAGGTTATTAAAGTGTCTGTACATGGACCCCCATGATATAGCTGAGTTTATCTCTACCCAGTAATATATTATCATTAGTGACTGCAGGTACTAGGGCACCAATCAATAAAGCAGCAGAGGTTCAAATGTTTGATCATTCCCATGGACCCGAGTGTTCATTTCCCCGCAAGATGCAAACCGAGTTCTGTCCCCAACATCAGACATTTTCAGTGGGTATCAGAGGGCCTTGCTAGCAGTGGCCCACAGCTCTGGAACTTCCTGCAAGGTTGCCCGCCTCTCTGTTTTCCACACAAGTTGGCCTGGTCCTGACATGGGGCTTTATTGGTGGGTGCCATTTCTTCCACCGTGCCTGCAATTGCTTTTCCTTTGTTTGTATTGCATTTTAATTAAGCCTTCATTTTGTAACAGCAAAATACTGGGGAGCTGCCTTGAGCACCTCCTTTGGATGGCAAGGATGGGGGAAGAGGCTTTGGGGCCACGATCAGCCAGCGTGCTGCATCCGTGCAAAGGAATTTTGGAAAAGTGACCCAGTGGGAGCAGGCTGGACTGGACGTTAGTCTGAGATTTGGTTCAGGGAAGGGCTGCTCCATGGTGCAGCGCTACAGACCCCCTACAGACCCCCTTGAGGAAGAAAAGCTGCTCCCACAGCACCTGAAACGAGATGAGCATATGCCTCCCTCCCCCGACACTAACCTGCCTGTGTCCAAACAGTAGGGACTGCAAAGGTGTGTGCCAATTAGGAAAGCCTGCCCCTGGTGGCTGAAGATGGTACTGCAGGATTCACCTGCACAGGACACTTTTACACAAATTGTTTTAAAAACCACAAGATCCAAGGGTGCCTGCTCCTAAGCTTTCCTCAGTAGGCAGGCATGATCGCATGGGTTTGGTGCTACGGTTCCGATGACAAACGTCCTAGGTAGATGTTTCTTAGCCACTCTGGTGATTCAATAAGCAAGCAAAATATAAAATAGGTACTTCCTGTCCGTTCAGCCCTCTTGTAGCTGCTTTTAGGGCAAGGTGGGAAAATTGCCCGAATGGTCAGGCCTCAGTGTGGATTTTAGCAGGGAAGTTATTTTATCATGCTTATTAATAAACAACCAAGGAAACCCAGGGTCCCTTTGCAAACACCCTCTAAATCACCAGGGTCATAGATGAGATGAGGAAGTGGAGAAGGTGCCTTGATCCAATTTCCACCAGAAACTGTGGAAAAACAAATTGAGGGAGCATATTTCAACAGAATCAAGGCCCACGACTTCCTGCAATTCCCAGCCAGCCAAGCTGAACAAGCCAAGACTTCTTGGGCGATCAAGCTTGATTCCATTAAAACAAATGGAAAACAGTTTGGGGACACCCAGAAAACTGGGGGCTGAGCAAAGCATTTGGGGACAGCCAGTCCAAGTAACTGAGAGCAAAGAGTCCACTACCCAAATCTGTGTGATGTATTTTAAACATTTGGCATGCATTTTAGTATCTTTCCTAGGATTTCTCCCCTTTGCAAAAAGGACTGGAATTTTAACACACACAACAGCAGCAGCAAAATAAGCTTCCTAGGCTTTTGTTCACACTGCCGTGTTCGGAGCCTGGATCACCACTGGGGAGACTTCCAGATGTCCCCAGCCATAAAAACCGCTGAAAAGAAAATTGTTGGAGCATCGATCTGCAGCCTTCATTAACTTAATGTTGGCTGGAAAGAGATCAATTTTGCAGTTTCCTTCCCAGGGCAGAGACAAGCTTTCACACATGGCTGACGGGGGAAAAGGTTTTTATTCAGTCAAGTAACAAATGCAAATACTATCCAACTTGTTTCTATCCAAAGCCCAACAGAGGCAAGGATGGAAGTACACTTGGGAGAAATGAGTGGGTGGGTGGGTGGGTGGGTGGGTGGGTGAGAGAGAGAGAGAGAGAGAGAGAGAGAGAAACACCAAGTTCCCAAAATGGGGAAGAACAGAGAGAGAAAGGGGAATTAGCTCCTTGGCGGAAAGCAGCACCATGGCTCTCTAAACAGCATCTCCTTGCTCCTAAGATCAGCTACTTCCTTGAGGGAGGAGTGGAGACACTTGGGGGATGAGAGAATAACATTAGCTCAGAATAAAACTGGGGGGGGGGGGGAGAACTAGAACTTAGGGAGGAAATCCCCCATATTTTCTAAAATCCTCTTCTCCCCCAAAACACAGCCACCCCCCATTCCCTCCCCCCGCAGGTTCCCTCCCCCGGGCCTCCCCCCCACCCCGAGGTAAGGGTGTAGAGCAAGGGAACTGCATCAGCCGGCCCAAAGACAAGGGGCAGCTCCCCGAGCCCCACAGCGACCCCAGGAGCCGGGGCGACTCCAGGGAATGGAGGCGCATCAGTTGATAGTCAGCACATCACTCTGGATCTCGTGGCTCAGCTGGGTTTGGAGGTCGCTCAGCTTCTTCTTCAAGCCGGACAAGGCGGAGAGGACGATGGTTTCTGGGCGCAGGGAGCCGCAAGACTCGACGTTGTAGTAAAACCTGAGCGAGGGTCGGAGGGAAAAGCAGACTTGAGAACACGGGGAAGTGCTTTTTAGAATCACACGAGAGGGAGGGCACACATGCAAAACAGGGAGCAAATGGTGGGAGGGGAGGTCCCACATGCCAGCAAAAACAGATTTAGGGCTTCCCCGTGTGGTTGGGACATTCATTCATTCATTCATTTAAAACATTTCTATGCTGCCCCCATCGCAACAAAGCCACGGGGCGGCTCACAACATAATTAAAAACATAGATAACACTAAATACAATAAAGATTAAAAAGCCCGGTAACATAATTTAAAATCCTATAAATACATAATAAATTAACAATTAAAATAAGTTTTAAATAAAAAGGCCTTCGCCTGGCGCCAAAAAACAAATAACGACGGCGCCAGGCGGACCTCTCTGGGGAGCGCATTCCATAGGTGGGGCGCCACTGCAGAGAACGCCCTTCTTTGTGAAAATCATCCACCTGTTATACTAACAAAGAATGTCTCCATCCACTGATACCCCTTTGCTACTGGGATTCGCAAGGCCTCAGCGTGTTCCGGAGAGGTCCCAGCACCTTCCGCTCCCCACCCCAGGCTGGAAGAGGATGTGCGGCCCGACTCCCTTCAAAGGCGCACAGGGCTTGGGCTTTTTCGACGGGCTGTTGGAAGCTGCCGAAGCAGAGGTAGTAAAAGGTGATCTCCCGCTGCCCGAAAAAGGAAGAAAAGGTCAGAGGCGTGTGGGGGGGAACTGCAGTGAGTTCTCAGGCTCAGCGGAGGGAGCAGCTGGCCACTGCCAGTCTTCCCACCATGCCGCTGGGCACCTGTGGGGCGGCTGGCACAGGTGGGCCTGTCAGGAGCAGCAAGGGATGCTTTGGCTCTCATGCTAGGTGGCTCAGTGGCCACTGCCAGAGGGAGTCACCCCAGCTTGTATGGCAGGCCCACTGTGAAGCAAACAGGACTGCAGGCTCGCTGGAGAAACAGCCCGGCCTGAGGAAGCAGTCTGCATTCAGACAACCGGGCAACCATGGATTGGCTGGGTGGTGGACCGCCGTCCATGCAAATTGCACTGATCGCGTTCAGTGGCGGCAGAAAGTTGCGGGGAAGGCATCCAGGACTGAGTGCCGTGTGCGGGTGACCGGCAGGCATGCCAAAACGGGGGCCGCTGATTCACATGTTGGGTGCAATGGCTACATAGCCCTGCTGAGTGGACACTGGGGGAAAGCGCAGAACTCTCGCTGTGCAGTGTGGAAGAAAGGGCCCCGAGTCTCATTTCCGTAAAACCGTGAAGCTTGGAATTCTTTGCAAAAGAGCCACAGCGGGAGTTTCGTGTTTCCAGCCAGAAACCCAAGAGGGATGGGGCCAGGCATGCTCCTGCGGTGAGTTCCCAGAGCTGAATATGAGACTGGGTTCAACTAAACACTCTGTGCATGCTCAGAGATTCATTCTGGGTGTCTGTGCTTCTGGAAAACCCTTTGGTCAGTCAAGAACATTTTGCAAGAAAGGTGTGTGGCTTGGAATGTGTGAAGGGAGGAGCCCCAGCTCACAACCTTTAGTGCTGGCTGCAGAAATCGCAGCTCACACTAGTGCGAGCACAATTCCCCAGCTCACACTAGTGCGAGCACAAGAAGCACCAGTCTCATGTCTGGGATCTTGGACCTGCCCAGGCAGCTGCATGCAGCCAAAGGCTGGGCACCCGTGGAAGAGAACAACACGGGCGAACTGGACCAGCCGCTTTCTATGCGAGTTTCCAGCCACAAGAAATAATCTTTTCTATTGCTGGAAACCTTAGTGCAGGAAATCTGAGAGGGTCTTTTGCGGTGCTGCGTCAGTCCAGCATCATGGCCCCTGATGACTGCAGGAGCAAACAGCGCTCTTTCTTTTCCTGTACTAATGACCAGACGGTACAGGCTGGTCTCGGGACTGTTCCAGCCGTACGTGCTGTCAACAGACCAGGAAAGAGAGCAAAGAGCATTGCTTTTACGTAGTGAATGTTAACTGTTCTGAGTAACAGAAAACTTGCCCTTTCTGAAAAAGAGCTTTGTGTAGCTTGGAAACACACCAGGAGATTTGATAAATGCCCATTCCTGTCTAATATGGGACTTCTGCTTCTTCCTTTATTTATTCGATTTATACGCCACCCCACTGGCCATAAGCTCTCTGGGCAGCTTACATCATATTAAAATCCATAACACAATACAAAAGACAACATGACAATACCCAGCAAAAGGATCAATAGCAATAAAATCATAAACAAACTATGAAAATTCAATAAAACCAAAACAGACAAAACAAAAAAATAAAATATTTAGATAACAGATGAGCTTGTATGCAATGGAAATATGGGCTTGGACACTAGACTGCCCACTAACAGCCCTGAGGGTAGGAGGCGGTGCATGTGCACCATGGTATTTTTAAGTTACCTTAAGAATGAGCCCTTACAACAGAGGCAAACTGCCGGGAAAGGCGAGTGCGGGCTCTCCCGATACCCGTTTGCCACGGCATTCTTTGCAGAACGCGTGGGTGGATAAGTGAGCTGGTACCGCGGCTATTTTAGCAGGGCGGTGTTCCTGTCGGAGTGGGCGGAATGCATGCTGCAGGCACACAGGGGCCCCGGCATCTCTGGCTAAAGGATTTTGGGGCGCAGGATCAGGATATGCAGCTCCAGAAGAGCCGCCACAAGAAAGCAGCACTTAGCTGGATATGTTGACATGGAAGGTGGACCGGATTCTCTGTCTGGGGTGGTGAACTTTTGGGTAAGGAGGAATGTGTGTGCCGCACCAGCAGCCTGAAGCAGCAAGGGCCAGGGTTGGGGGAGCACCTGGGTGAGAAAGCTGCCTCTGGAAGCCTCTCGAGGTGCCGGGGACAACGCGGGGGCTAAACAGGGCTGCCCCCCGCCCTGCGCACTTGGATCAGCCCTCCCTCCAGGTGAGAGCGGGACGCCGGCACCTCCCCTGAGCCGAGCTGGCTGGCTTCTCCCGCTCCTCACCTCTCTGGCTTCCCGTTGGGATCATACGGAGCTTGGGCCTCGTCTTCGTCGATTTCAGAGTATTCGCTCTTCGGCCTGGAATAAAGCAGCAATGTGAGAAACGGACACGGTATGCTCCTCCCTCCCCCTCTCCCTCATCCAGGGAGCAAATGGACCCCAAAGGCATCCAGGGCCGCAGCTCAGCAGTGAAGCACCTGCCTCAGTGAAGAGGCTAGAAGAATTCCTGCCAGAAACCCCAGAGAAGCACAGCTGCCAGTCCGTGCAGGCAAGTCTGGCTTAGATAGACCCAGGACCAACTGTGCAGGGCCGCGTCCCACGTTCCCATCGTGCAAAGACCACGGGTCTGCGTTCAGGGAAGGACATGAACCGGGGACAGGCATGGCTCCGCTTGCCAGCACTGTGCTGAATTAGGAGCTGCTTTTCCACCAGAAGCAGTTACACGTGGCGGGTGTGAGACTGCGCACTGCACAGGGCTGCGAAAATGCCTGCTCGCCTTCTTGTTCTGCCCTGGGGTGGCCGCCACCCGGAAGCTGCTCAGCTTCGCCCCCGAGGTTTGCTCTCTGATCGGCAGCGGTCCTGCCACGCGGCCCTCAAACTCCGTGTTCTGTTTTGGCGACGCAGAACGCACCACTCCTCCGGCTTCGGGTAGACTGTGTGCCGCAGGGCGTTGTCTGGGTCGTACTCAAAGGCCACCCCCGCCGTGGGGTTCCACTTGGCGTGCTCCTTGCCGAAGCCCTTCTTCGCATAGGCCCGCAGCCGCAGTTCCTGGCCTTTCCGCAGCTTGACTATGAGGATGTCTAAAAGAAAAGGATAACCTTTTCATTTTCCCAATGCTTTAAGGCCTGACTGTTTTAATATGGGCTTTATTGTGGACCGATTCAGATTTTGACTAGGATGCCGTGTTTTATGCGCCAAGGTGGGAGGCCAAGCAGTCGCCTGACCCCAGACAGGCAAAAACCACACCATTCCTGCCGGGTACTCACCATCCTGCTCCACGTAGTCATTGGGGTCATTATCTCTGCTCCGGGAGGTCACCTGCGTGGGGCCAGAAGAGAGCAGGTCACTGCAGGACTCGTGGCCTCCTCTGAATGTAGGCAGTGCCTTCCTCGCTTAAGCCACAGCGAGTTGGCATGGAATGCCACCCGCCTTCTCCGCAGTGGCGCCGGAACTACAGAACATGCTCCCCAGAGAGGTCGGCCTGGTGCCAACGTTGTACTCCTTCCGGCGCCAGGTAAAGACCTCTTCATTCAGCCGTCATTTTAATAATCAAGCGTTGTAGACGTTTTAGTATTTTTTGTTTTCTTTTCTGTTTCCACAGTCGTAGTTCCTATTTTATTTTTCCCTTCTTATTTTATAATTTATAATGTTCAATTTTAGAAGTTTTTAATAATTGTGGTTTTATTACTGTATTATTGTAATTTTATACTACAAAAGCCATCCTGAGTGCTTGTGCGGAAGGACGGGATACAAATATTTGTAATAAACACACACACGGACATGAATGGAAAACCTCACTCGAAGAGCACTGTCCGTTTGCCCCCGTGCCTCCCCAGAATGCATCCCTGGCAGCTCTTGCAAAACCGAATCTGGTCCTCTGTCAGAAAGATGTTCAGCACCACGAAGGTGCCCCGGGACTTTCCTGGGCGGAAAATCCCTGTCGTTCTGTGCAACCCAGAGGTTCTGCCCTCTCCCCGTCCTGCGCTGGGCCTCCTCGCCTTCCTCCATTTGCATTTAGACAAGCCTTGCTTGAGGCTGTGTGCGGGGACCCTCCACTTACCGGGATGACCCGTGGGTTGTTGGAGATGAGGTCCCGGGAGGTGACGTGGCGAGTCTGGTCCTCGTTGCATCGGACGTCGAGCGTGAACTCCACGGAGCACTCGTGGCAGAACTCGTCACACGTGCAATCCTGAAGGGAAGGGATAGAAGGAAAGTGGGAGAGGGCGCCCCGTTAGAGTCTGCCACATCTGATCCATGGCTCTGGCACACTCCCTGGCCTGCCGGAACCTGATCCTTGCAGGACTGACACACCAGCCCAGGTGGGCCGGCAGCCAATTCCCAACGGCGGCCAACTCGACGCACCTGGCAAGCCCCCAAAGGGAGCAGCCCTTTCTCCTGCCCCTCCAGCTCTCTGCCTTGTAAACCTGTGGCCGCTGTCCCACTTCTGCCCATAAATGGAGCAACCTTAAACTCGGTGCCAGAAACCGGGTCCCTCTGGGTTGCTCCTGCTCCTCCTCTCTCCAGCAGCCGGTGCAGCAGCAGGGGAAATGGAAAGGAAGCGGTGCAGAAGCAGAGTGGGGGCAGCATGCCAGCCTCCACTGGGGGTCCCAGTGCGGTCCTTCAGGGCTCCCCACAGGCCACGGGTGCCACCCTTTTCTCCCAACCCCCTGCTCCCCACTTTTGGGTCAGGTGCTCCCCCTTTTTAAGAGGTGGACCTGTTTCTCAGAATGCTCAGTTTCTGGCCATGGGGGAAGTGCCTCATGCTGGCATCCAGGTCCTGTCCCGTTTGCCCAGCACCGAAACGGGTTTGGCCCTTTATGGCTCTGCCCCTGGAGCGGCGGCCCCCCGCTCTCGTCCTGCCCAGCAAAGAACCTGCTCCTTGAGCGGGCCTGAACTCACCCTGGAATACTGCAGCTTATCCACTACGTCGTCGCTGGTAAGTGGAATCAGACCTGAGGAGACAGAAGGCGTAAGAACCCCTAGGGGGCCTCAAGAGTGGGACGAGGGGGAGCACGAGGAGGTGGCAAGAGAAACGCAAGAGCTTCGCCTTCCCATTTCAATCACGAACCCTTGTTAGGAACAAGGGAAAAGGAACGAGGGGGCTAGGTGTGTCTGATGGTTGTGATTTTATTGTAATATTTTGCTAATTTATTCATTTATTCATTATTACTGTACGTATATTTTGTAACCCACCCAGAGAGCTGCGTTGGCTGTGGGGTAGGACAGAAATGTAATGATAACAATAAGAAATAAATATACTAAAAATACACTGCATTTTCATGTAATTTTGAGAAGCCATGGAGGGCTCCCTGCGCTCCCTCAGCTTAACACTCACCCAGTCTGTGCGCGATGAATTCATCGTGGAGAACAGAGGAATTGGCATCAATCTGCACCCAGTCTATGGCTGCAAACAAAGCCACAAACACCAAGTAAGACAACACCTTTGCAGCCAATGATTGGAAGCACTTGGGAGTTGCAGGGTCACATCTACCATAGAAATTTTATTTATTTAAAGCTTTTCTGAACCGTCCCTATACTAATGTCTCGGGATGGTTTACAACAAACAAATAAGTAAAATAGAAATTAAATTAAAAATAGAAACTGCTTTGTTTATAAGAGCTTGTCCTCTTTGGGAACCAACAGTCTCTGGAGTGCTGGGGAACTATACCAGCTTTCTCCAACCTCACGGGCACTGAATGGATAGCAATTCTCACAATCCCCAGACAACATGGTTGGGAATGATGGGATATACAGTCCAGCACATCTGGCAGGCATCAGGCAGGTGGCCAGGACCTGGGAGCCATTTCCTGGGGAATCCAACAGGGCCTTTTCAAGGTACCTGGAGATGCCAGGGAACAGACCTGGAACCTTTGGCAAGCCACTCAGCCAGTGCCCTCAGCTGACATTTCAAACCGAGGACACAAAGCTTGCGTGTATGAAAGTGTATGCACACCCACACGTGGAACTGCTTAATAGTTAGAAACACAGAGAATTAGCTTCCCAAACCAACACAAGAGACAAAATAGGAGAATACCTATGATGGGAACCTCGGCAATGAACACCCTCCGGATGGAATTTGCTACTCTGGAACAGAAAAACACAAAAGCATTTATTACGGCTAAATGGCATTTCCAAAGCAGGTGTTTGAGGGTCTGGCAGGGAAACAAGAAGGATCTCCCCCGGTAAGCAGCTGCTGCACAGAGGTGGTCAACGATCTGCTAAGGCTAAGGCAGGAATTCAAACTTCCTGAAGTGCTGTGAACATGGCCAGAGGGGTTGGGAAAGAAACAAGCCATGCTAAGAACACTCAATATGCCAGCAAATTTGAAAAACTCAGCAGTGGCCACAGGATTGGAAAAGCTCAGTTTACATTCCTATCCCAAAGAAGGGCAATGCCAAAGAAAGTACAAACTACTGCACCACTGCACTCATTTCACATGCTAGCAAAGTGATGCTCAAAATCCTACAAGCTGGCTCCAGCAGCATGTGGACCGAGAACTACCAGAAGTACAGGCTGGGTTTCGAAGAGGGAGAGGAACTAGAGATCAAATTGCCAACATCTGCTGAATCATGGAGAAAGCTAGGGAGTTCCAGAAAAACATCTACTTCTGCTTGACTATGCTAAAGCCTTTGATTGTGAGGAACACAACAAATTGTGGCAAGTTCTTAAAGAGATGGGAGTACCAGACCATCCTATTTGTCTCTTGAGAAACCTATATGCGGGCCAAGAAGCAACAGTGAGAACCAGACACGGAACCACTGGTTTGGTTCAAAATTGAGAAAGGAGTTTGGCAAGGCTGTATACTGTCGCCCTGCCTATTTAACTTATATGCAGAGCACATCATGAGAAAGGCGGGCCTAGATGAATCACCAGTTGGAATTAAGATTGCTGGGAGAAATATCAACAACCGCAGATATGCAGATGATACCACTCTCATGGCAGAAAGTGAAGAGGAACTAAAGAGACTCTTGATGCGGGTGAAGGAGGAGAGTGCAAAAGTTGGCTTGAAACTCAACATTAAGAAAACTAAGATCGTGGCATCTGGTCCTCTCACTTCCTGGCAAATAGATGAGGAAGAAATGGAGGAAGTGACAGATTTTACTTTCCTGGGCTCCAAGATCACCACAGATGGGGACTGCAGCCAAGAAATTAAAAGACATTTGCTCCTGGGGAGGAAAGCTATGGCAAATCTAGACAGCATCCTAAAAAGCAGAGACATCACTCTTCCGACAAAAGTGCATATAGTCAAGGCGATGGTTTTCCCAGTTGCAATGTATGGCTGTGAAAGCTGGACCATAAGGAAGGCTGAGCGCCAAAGGATTGAGGCCTTTGAATTGTGGTGCTGGAGGAGACTCCTGCGAGTCCCTTGGACCGCAAGGCGATTAAACCAGTCAGTCCTAGAGGAGATCAACCCTGACTGCTCTTTAGAAGGCCAGATCCTGAAGAAGAAACTCAAATACTTTGGCCACCTAATGAGAACTCCCTGGAGAAGAGCCTAATGCTGGGAACAATAGATGGCAAAAGAAGAAGGGGATGGCAGAGGATGAGGTGGCTGGATGGAGTCACTGGGGCAGTGGGTGTGAGCTTGAGCGGACTCCAGGAGATGGTGGAGGACAGGAAGGCCTGGAGGAATGTTGTCCATGGGGTTGCGACTAGTTGGACACGACTTCGCGACTAACAACAACAAAGAACACAGCCCTTCACAGAACTGCGATGCTAGTCCACAGGAACCGTCTGCAAAGATTCTAGTTTATTTCAGAAATCTGTATACTTGGAGTCAGCATGATCTTGTGACTGGCCTATGGATTTCTGAGCCAATTCGAGGTCCATCACTACTGCCCAACCATGGCAGGATCAGTTCCACTGCCAACTGGGCTGGGAGATGCTGAGGGCTGTAGTCCAACACACCTAGAATATACCAGATGTAACACGCAGCTTCATCCTTTTATAAAGGCAGTCAGAGGCCAGTCAGGAATGAAGGTGAACAACGGGGGGGGGGGCATCCCTATATCCTGCCGCATGTGCGATGCCAGGGAGGCCAGATGGAAGGTGCAGGGCAAACATCCCGAGGACCACGACCTTTTAAGTAGCCAAGCTGGGCTTGCTTCTGCGTCACGCACCCTGGTCATGCAGCAAGGAACCCGGAGAGGAAGCATTTCAAAGCAGGAGGTCAGGGCGGCCGCCAAGGCTCCGTTCCCTTTAATGGCTCTGCGCCAAGGCATCCTAACGAACAGGATGGGAGCCAGCTTAAAAGATCTGGGGGGAAGGCGGCCCAAGAAGCAGGGGCGCAGCGCATGTGCTTTCCAGGCTGCAGAAAAAGTGGCCTTTTGTGACTGCTGGCCAGGGCGCATGCTGGAGATGCAATGGGGCGGAGAAGATCGAGCACCCAGGAAGGAAGGAAGGACGCCCGCCCGCCCGCCCGCCCGCGCCAGAGCGCACGCGGGAGCCCGGCCGCAACAGGCGCGGCGGCTGGAAAGGCTGCCCACGCCGGGGGCGCAGCGGGCGCCTCGGGGGCTCCTCCGCCGCCCCGGGACCCGCCCGCCGCTCCCCGCCGCCGCCGCCGCTCACGCCAGGTCGGTGTTCTCGATGATGAACTTGACGTTCTCGTCGCTGAGCTCCGTGATGCGCACCGTGGGCTGGTTGGCGTAAGGCATGGCGAGGGCAGCGGCCGCCGACGCGGAGGCGAGGCGGGGCCGGGCCGGGCCGTTCCAGCGGCCCCGGAAGTCCTCGAGGCCTGCGCCGGCGCGCGCGCGCTTTCTCCTCCGGGGGCGCGCTGGCAGGGGCGTGCCGGGCCCTCGTGCTGCGCTGCGCTGCGCTGCGCGTCCAGGCGGGCGTGTCCCCGCTGCAGAGCCAGGGCAAAAGCGACGCTCTCTTAAGCCTGGCCGTCCATTAGGCTCGCTCGCTCGCTCGCGGAGTAGGCGCACGGGGCGAGTCTAAACGCACCCGCCCTCTGCAGAGTTCCCAACCCCTTTGCTTGTTCTATAGAGTGCCAATGATCCTAGTTAATAGACGCAAATAGACACAGCAAGAAGGACTCCAGCGCTCTCTCTCGAATCGTCTTTTAGGTGATTATCCAGATTGGAGGTGCAGCCCTCCATTTGGAGATTTTATGCCTGGGTGGGCATTTGTGCCCACCTGGCTCGGGAGATGAGCAGCCCAGCAAGGTGCGTTGAACACCCGACGCTTGATCTGCAAAAAACCCGTCCGTGCCTCTGCTTGGCTAATCGCAGCCTTTTGTAGCCTGCTGCTCCCCAGAAGTTTTGGGTGTCCATCAGCCCCAGCCAGAATGGCCAATGGTGCTGAGACCTGGAAATCCAGGCATTGAATTGGGGAAGGCTATATGCATCTCTTCCACCCCGCCTCCCCTCCCCTCCCATCAGAAGTATAGAACTTCAGTGTCTCAGTCTGGGCTCACAGGGCTCTTGTGAAAGTGTGGAGGTTGAAGAACAGCAAGAAAGGGAGGCTTTGACATCAAATATAAATAGGTACTGTGCATCCTTAGAGCAGGAACCATTTTTTTCAGTGCTTATGCATTTTAAGGGACTGCAGGTGGCTCAGTGGTTTAAACCGCTGTGCTGCTGGGCTGGTTGATCGAAAAGTCGCCGGTTCGAATGTGCACAACGGAATGAGTTCCTTTAGTCATGCCGGCCACATGCCCACGGAGACTAAGGACAAACGCTGGCTCCCTCGGCTAGTTAACAGAGATGAGCACCTCTCCCTAGAGTCAGGCATGACTGGACGTAAAGTCAAGGGGAAACCTTTACCTTTATGCATTTTAATTGTATTATTATTGAGTGGATTTATACATGGCTGTGCATATTTAAAAATATCTATGCAAGCAGAGGATACAAGCAAATTTTATTTATTTAGGATATTTCTAGCTTGTCTCTGGACGACTCACAAATTAAAAGCATTAAAAACAAGTGATATATATTAAGATACAATATATTATTTATTTATTTATTTATTTATTTGGAATGCTTGTATGCCGCCCCATTCGTGTAAGCCTCGGGTTGGCTTCCAACAAATAAAGAACATACAATATACAAAATACACAGAATTGGAAACATCCCGGACTAAATTCTAATTCTAAATATTGATAGAAAATATCAAACATTAAAACTAATTTAACGCCACTGCAACACAAAATGACAAGCAGAAGCCCTGCTCGATGAAAAAGATATAAATGCTTTACATTTAAAATAAATATAACTGTTATGGAATTTATATTATCTTCTGCCATGATGCTCAGTGGTGACTTTGGGCCAGTCTGTAACCTACTTCTGAGCCACCTTGGGTTCCTTGTTGGAAAAAGAAGGCAGCACAGATATATAATTAATTAGTACCCTATTTGATGGGTGAACTCAGGAACATTTGGGGCCTTCGGGCCTCCCGCCTCCATGAGTGCTTCGGCTTGCGAGAGCACGGCAGCCTCACCTTCACCAACGCGTGCAAAGAAGAAAGGCCGTCTTTTATACAGTGGGGCCCAGCACACTTTATTTATATATTTTTACTATTGTTATCTTGGGTACGGATCCCTTTCCCCGCATTTCTCGATAAAGTTCATGCAGGGGCGGGCCGGGGCCGGGCGTGCAGCAGTGCGCATGCGCGGCCGCGGGGCGTGCTGGGAGAAGCCGGCCGCTCTCCGCCAATAAGAGCACGCGGCGGGGAGCAGAACGCGGTTGACGTGAAGGCGGTCGCGGCGCGGCGCGGCGTGCGGGACGGAAGAAGGTAGGCATTTGGCGGCCGCGCTGGCGCGGGGTTCTGTTCCGGCGGCGGCGGCCGGGGCAGGCCGGCTGACTTAGCTCCGACCTTTTCTTCCTTTCCCCGTGTCCCTTCCCTCCGTTATAGTCGGTTCCAGGCCGTGTGAGGAGGAAAGCGGTAGGCCAAAAGTGCCCGGATGTACCTGCTGTCACTTCCTCCACCTCCCCTTTAAGACAGGCAGCTGCTGCCCTCCAAATGCGTCGGAGTGGTACCCCTGCCTGGCTGGGGATGATGGAAGTTGCAGTCTAGCACACGTGGAGGGCGAGAAGATTGTGGCAGGGCTTCTTTTAAGAACTAGAGCCCACCTGTACCTATCAGAAGAGGCGCCCTGCTGGTAGAACTTTTCCTGGCTGGGGATGATGGGAACTGTGGGCCAACAGGCCTGCAGGGCAAGTGGACTGGCAGGAGGGCTTGCTTGGAGATACAAGGGGAGCCACACTTTGTCAGCTGGTTGACATGATGATGGGAGGTGTAGTCCAGCATGGCTGTAGGGTATGTAGATTGGAGAAGGGCTACAGAGTTTATCTGTTAATACCAGAAAGAGAACCTTGCTAAAGCAGGGTAAAAAGGCTCATTTGGGCTATTACTATTATTTTGTTTCTGTACTGCCCCATAGCCAAAGATCTCTGGTTGGTTTACAACAAGGGAACGGAGAACTTTCCCCCCAGCTGTGCCAGAGGGCTGGGGGATGGCTGTGACAAGCTGGTGCTGGAAGGTAAGCTTCCCTCAGCATGGAGGTTCTGTGTCAGTGGTAGCAATCTGTGGCCAGCTGGTTGTATTGGGACTGCAGCTTACAGGGGTTCTCGCCATGGACTGTTCTGCAAGGGCATACTGCCCCAACCTTGTGCCTTCCAGACACATTTGGACTGCAACACCCAGAATCCTCAGTCAAGGGCCCTGCTGGGTGAGGGTTTCTGGGAGTTGTGGGCCAAATGGCTCTGAAGCCCACCAAGTTGGGGTAGGCTGTGTTTAGGGTTTATGGGAATTGTGAGGGCCACACTTTATTCAGATTGCTTTTTATCACTGGTCAGCCTTTTCTCCCTCATGATTCTTCTTGAGGCAGCATAGACTGCTGCCCTAACACTCTTACCCTTTCCACATAAACTTGCTTTCATCATTTAATCCAGGTGCTTCCTGCAAGGATGTAAAAAGCCTAACCCATGAAGCAGAGGATTGTTGGTGGCTGTTAGCATGATACCAATTTTGGCTGTGCAATCCTACACTTGTCTGTTCAGAAGTGCATCTGATTAGGTTCAGTGAAGCTCATTCATTCATTACATTTTTGCAGTGCTCAATACCCAAAGCTCTCTGGGCATCTTACAGAGACCAAAACCCTAAGAATACATTATACAAACTGTGTATAGACACATAGATAAATGCATGGCACAGAGAGCCACACATCTGTTTAACACAATCTTCAGCTACCAAAACCAAGAAAAATAGAGTCCTCATAAAAGCTTCATTGTAGCTTCATAAAATCTGCCCAATGTTTGAGAGAAGGCTTCCATTTTATTCTCTACAGGCACACAGAAGGCTTCTGGTTTCATCCCTTGGCTTCAGGTAAAAGAGCTAGATAGCAGGTGATGGGAGAGATCTGTGCCTGAGACCTTGAGTGGCTGCCAGTCAGAGCAGGCATTAATGATCTGGATTGACCAATGACTTGATTCAAACAGGGAAGCGCCTTCGAACTATATATTGTTGCAGCAGTCTGTAAGCGTGCAGTTTAAAGATGCCCGTTATCCTCAGAACTTGGAAGATTACAGGCATTCTGTAAGCCTTGGCCTCTTCTGACTTTGGTCATTGAAGTGTGGCACCTTGGAGCTTGAGAAGAGGAGGTTGAAGGGCCAACCAGGACACTGCCTATGCTGGCAGAACTTGTCTGCTCCCCTTTCCTTCCCTTCCCTCCCCACCCCAAACTCCTGCTTCCAAGGTCAATGCTCAGTTCTGACATTGGAGCCAATTTCTGAAGTCAGAGCAGGGACTCCAAATTACCCAGTGGCCCTGCAAATTGCTCCACCTGTTGTTCATATGTTGTGTGAAGAAGTGCTTCTCTCTTGTCTGTCCTGATTTTCCTGCTGACGCTTTACATGGGGTGATCCCAAATTCTAACACAAGTTAGAGAATGTTCATCTCTATCTCACACTTTGCACAATAATAGGAAGCACTGGCATATGGCTTCTAGGTTGTCTCTGTGCCTCAAGTAAAATGGCCTCAAAAACCTTGACTGGGCTCTAGGTCAACGAAGGACCAATAGGTACAAGTGATCCCTTGGACACAGTCCTTGTACCCACCATTGTGCCCCTCCCCTCCTTAAGAAACTAAATGATACTTCTGGCACTTGGGTTCATCTCAAAGCAAAATGAGGTCTTGCAACCTCTGCCATTTTCATTTCCCATGAGTGCTTCTGGTTGACATAAGCTTATGGTGTTGGTGTTACTGTATGAAGCCCTGTAGAGCTTAGGACCAGGTTAACTCAAGAAAAATACCCCCTACCCCACGGCCTTGTACCAGCCTCCCAGGCTACTGTCATTCAGGGGAGGCCCTGGCGGCTTGCAGGTTGCCATTTGATGGAGAGAGAAATGGGCCTTCTCTGCACTAGCACCAGCCCTGTGGAATGATCTCTTATCATTGGAGTGTTTACTAAAAGCATAGCTGATTGCTTTAGTTTTTCCCTGGCCATAAGCTCTCTCTGGACCAGCCCCATGCAACCTGTGTGTGCATACTTCATCACTTTTTTATGAACTGCATTGTTACAAATGAGACGATGCACACATTGTTAATATTTTGCCTCTATTTTGTTTGTATGTTATGCTAACCTTGGCAAAAGTGGTTCATCTTTGTTGCACAGACTCTTGCAAAGTCCTTTGCACAAAAAGAAGGTTGCAGCCATGAATTCTAGCTCTGGTTACCTGGAAGAACTTATTCCTTTTGCAGTTTTGGGGTGTCGCACCAGGGGCATGCCTGTGTGTTGCAGTGTGTGTGATGTAGTGCTGAATGTGCACTGTTAACTGGAATGCTTTTAGCACTCTTTCTAGCGCTGAAAGAGCTTGAGGTGTTTTGGACTTCTAGGAGCGATTCTGTTCTTAAGTACAGTACTAAATGTAGATGGTAGTTTTGGTGTGAAGGCAGCCTGTGAATGCACCCTAATACGTAAAGGTCTCCATGATTGAGAGGCTCAGCTCTGTGGGCAAAGTAAGGTGCACTGTTCTTCTCCCGCCTGTGTACAGAACTATGCATTTGAACAGTGTAAGGCCATTACTGTGTGGGATCCTTTGCACTGTGAATGTGCATTGGCCATTGCAGATGTGCGTGTCTATCAGGCGGACCTGCACTGCAGGGCTGCAGCCGCCATAGCTGAATGGAGTCTCTCTGAATCCCAAATTGCACGGGCATTGTGTCATGCTTTTTAGAATTTCTCCCCGTACCATTATAATTCTTTTCCTTCCCATAGGGCTGCGTATTTTCAGCCCCCTCAGAGAGGTTGGTCTTGGAAACAGTGTGCATATTTTCCAGGTATTGCATTGTAGTTCTTCACTGAGAAAGGTAATTACCATTTCATATGGTGCACTTCATGAATGTATCTTGCCTGATGATGCTTAAAGTAGTGGACTTTGGGGGGGCAGGAGTTTGGCAATACAGTTGCTTGTCCGCTGCATCCTTTTTTTTGTACGGCCATGCTATAAATGTGTAACAAATAGGTAACCTTTTTGGGGCATGCATGACAAACTTTTCAGGGCCATTAGCACAGGCTGGCTTTCAGTGCTCCTGCCTGCATCATCCCCCCCGCCCTTGTTTCCTACCTCTGCTGTGCAGAGCAGCTGTTCAGTTTTGCCAACGTCCTACTTATTGGCTGCTGCTGTTAATTTTATTTGTATACTGCCCAATAGTCAAAGCTCTCTGGGTGGTTTATCCAATACATACAGGTTAAGGCTTTGCAGTGCCTGACTCAAGGTAGGCAGTAAGCACAGAATCTAGGAGGTGCACATGGGGTGAATGGGCAAAGTAGATGATGTGGGGGGGGGTGAGATCTGGGTTCAGGGTTGGGGATCCTGGTGGGCAACACTGAGGGTCTGCATTGCTGATGCCTCTTGCAACATGCTGGCACAGTTCATCTTCCCACCTTAACTCTGCCCGTGCATGGGTGGCCAGGCAACACCTGACCTCTTAATTTTTCAAGAGAAAGCAGCTTACCTAAGGAACATTTTTGGACAGGCTTAGACTGCCCTTGGCCATGTGCTAGAGGAAGAGGACAACAAGGTGAGCTGCTTGGACCAGCCATTTTCCAGCCTCTTGGATTGCAGCCTCCAGTTGCCCGGCAACCAAGGATTGCCTTGCTGTTTGCTTGAGTTCATTGCTTCTCCAACTTGGTGGTTGTGAGCTACCTTAAGTAAAAATGAGAGGGAGAGAAATCCTGTGCAAATCCTTTCCAGGTTAATTAATTCAGTAGATTTATAGCCCACCTTTTTTTTTTCCTGCAGAGAACTCGTAATGGCTTCTCTAATCTTCCTCTCCCTCTTTATTCTCACAGCCCTGTGAGGTAGGCTAGGGTAAGAGTCGGTGATGGGCCGAAAGCCATCCAGTGAGCTTTATGCCTGAGTGGGGACTCCCCACTCTCATCACTATACCATGCTGGCTAAGTTAACTAATCAAACCTAAAATAGAACAGCTGGTGGCAACCATCTTGCTCTGAAATGCATTCAAGAAGGGCAAAGAACAGCTGGTGCAGGCTCAAACTATGCTGACATGGCACTGCAGGCTAATCTTTTTGCCAGGTATGCTGTCCATCATCAAAAATTTGGGAGGATGCCCCTTTGGTATGTACTGCAGAGCATATTCTGACAAACCTCTGCATGGTGAAGCTGCAGAACTGTGAAATGGGCAACCACAGAAATTAGTAGGTGTAGAGCTTTTAAAGACATTCAGCACTATAGCAAGAGCACAAAGTGCAGACCTGCTTCTTGGTGTTA